AACAGCTCTTGGACAAGCTGAATTTATTTCCATTATAGTCCTTCTTATTCACGAACTCCAACAGCAGCACTATTCACTCCCGTGCAACAATAGGGCATTGATTTCTCAGGACTGAGAAATTGACAGGAGCCCTCCTGTAGAAAGATCTGCCTTGTTGGTAGGCATCTTATCTAGGAAATTGGGAGCTGAGTGACATGGAATCCATACCTCTCTCACACAGCCTGAGGACCCTACATAAGCTGTGAAAACAAATAAGTTCGGGTTCAAATTCTGGCTCTACTGTTTTCTCGCTGTGTGTCTCTTGAGTATGTTGTGTGACTTCCCTATGTGTCAATTTCCTAATATGAACTCTGAACATAAAATAGAAGGCTAGTGGGTGCACAGGAATGGTGCTTGGTGTATGAAGTACTCAAAAATTTTATCTGCTGTTAACATTTTTACTTAACAGGATGCTAGGAATATTATTAGCAATAACAATAATAATACCACAATTATTATTGTGGATATGAAATAATACCATGGAAGCACAGCACTCAACATAAAATAGATACTCAAAAATGTTGGTTTCTGTCCCTCTTCTTGGGTTCCTTATGTCTACTTATAAATTCTAGAGACACTGCTGCTTTTCTTTTATCTATGGCAAAAAAAGACTCAACTTCTGAATCTCCAACAGGGCTAGGAAGTGACCTAAGGCCTTTGGTTTCAGTTTTCAGGCATATTTTTCTTTATTTTCCATGGTGAGCCATCATTCAGAAATAGGATGAATGAAAAAAAAAATAAAGGCTATGTCAGGTTAGACTTGGTCACGGTGAAAGCGAGAACAAGTCAGAAGAGACAGATGTGTTTAATGGTCAATGCATTTGTCCAAAGGAATCATTTTCACTGGCCAGGAGCCCAATTAAACCTGTAAAATGGAAATACAGAAAATCAGATTAACGAGCCAGTCATTAGTAAGGAAAAGACCCAGCTAATTCTGTGTTTAGCATGACGGATGGGCCCAGAGCAAATAATTGGATGACATTCATCAAACGTAAAATAAAAGGTGTCACTGAAAGGGAAAGTGGTAATAATCTCTGGGATTTACAATGCCAGTGAATTTGCTTGTAAGGAAGAGAAAAGTTCATCAAAATAGATTAATAGTCACTAAACTGTATTCCTTACTTGTGTGGTTGCCAGAGAGCCACACAAATGATTGTGGAGAAGCAGCAAATGCATTGGCCTGGTACCGCCCACCACCAGGGGAAGCTTCTGGCTGGAAGGATGCTCATCCAGCCATCCAGGGACTGGGCAGAAATGGAGAGCTCGGCATCCCATCCATTATTTAATCAGGAAACAATGGAGAGTCCCAAACTCAAAATCTCTTCAGTTCAGCAGATTGATCCCAATGACCCATTATTCAGTTAGTCACTAGGTATTGACTCCTTGCTCTATGGGGATGTGCTTATTGCTAGTTAAGGGTTCAGGCATGAGCAGGATTAACAAGGTCCAACTTCATTTTAGAGCAGTAACAGTGAAAGGCTGTGTAATGTTGGGCAAGTTTGGTCAATCTCTCTCAGCCTCATTTTTTCTCAGCCTCATTTTTCTGACCTGTAAACCTGTAGATTTGGAAGTATATATGTGATATAGATATAGATATAGATATTCTTTCTTTCTATCTATCTATCTATCCATCTATCTATCTATCTATCTATCTCCCTCACACAGAGATATATGTAAAATCAAATAAGGTGTGCTATATAAACTATGTATCATACTATATTTTATGTAATAGACACTCACTGCATGGGAGTAGTTATTACTCTTGTTTGTATTACTTTGCCTCTTCTAAGAAGACATTGTTTTTGAAATGCAATATCAACATCATAATAGATTTTTCTGGGAATGCAAATAAACATATGTACACATGCCCAATTACAAGGCTTCATAAATGCTTTTTCAAAAGGTGTCAAAATCAAGGAAATGTGTAGTCAAGGTGAGAGGAGTAAGATGGATAGAGGACTCTTCTAAGTCTACCACAGGAGTAGGAATACAGGTTTAGAGTCAAAATTTCTGAATTCAGTTTTGTCTTGGGCAAGTCACTTAGTACCCTGTAGCCTCTGTAGGGTTGCCATGAGGATCAACTAGATAGTTTACATGTGGGCTATTGGGTAGTTCTGCATCATGGAACGTGAACTCTACAAATGTTAGTTGTGTTATTATTTTTGTGTACCCACTAACCATCTGCCAGGAGATGAGCTGTCTCAATCTATTTCTCCTTCAGTAACAAAATACCTTAGGTTAAATAGTTTATAAATAGCAGAAATTTATTTTTCCCAATTGTATAGATGAGGAAGTCCAAGATCAAGGCAGGGCCTGGGCAGGGCTGATGTCTGGTGAGGGCCCTGGTCTCTTAATTCCAAGATGGTGCCTTGAACACTGTATCCTCACAAGGCAGGAAGGAAAGAAGGGGTCTAGGTAGCTCCTTCCAGCTCTTCCACTGATCCTTTCATGAGGGAGTAGCCCTCCTGTTCCAATCATTTCCTAAAAGCCCCTACCTTTTAATATTGTTGCATTGGGGATTTAGTTTCAACATGAATTTGGAGAAAATACAAACATTTTCACCACAGGGTTCCACCACTGGCTCTCCAAAGTTTCTATCATCCTCACATACAAAATATATGCATTCTATCCTCAAAGCACCCAAAGTCCTGTGCCAACATCAACTGTAAAGTCTTAAGCCTGAAGTTTTATATAATATCATTTAGTCAGATATGATTAAATGTTATGATTCATCCTCAGAGAAATCGCTCTCCAGCTGTGAGCTTGTGAAATCAAACAAGGTATGTGGTTTGAAATACAATGCTGGTATACTTTCGAAGAGTGTGTTTGGTGATGTTCAGAGTGTCCTGTAAAGAGCTAGATTTAAAAAAAAAAATTTTTTTTGTAGTTGTAGATGGACATAATATCTTTATTTTATTTCTCCTTTTGGGAAAATTAAAATATTTTAGAACAAAATAGAGAAGATGATCGGACAACATTGTAAATGTACTAAGTGCTATTGAATAATACAATTTTAAATGGTTATGATTTAGTTACGTGAATTTCACCTTAATTTTTTAAAAAAAAGGTTTCTGTCACCATTGTAAACACAGACTCTGGGAAGAAGGCAGGGGCCAGGACATGTGAGGAGCAGAAGGTGGGTGTAAATTGTTGTTAAAAGGTATAAACCCATTGTGTTCAAAGTGTAGTCCCTGGACTAGCAGCATCAGCCTCACCTGGAAACTACTAGAAAGAAAATTCTTATACCCCAACCTGGCTCTGTTGAATCAGAGATAAGTGACCAGCAGTTTGAGCTCTACTAAGCTTTCCAGGTGATCCTGATGGCTGCTAAAATTTAAAACTATTGATCCAGTTCTTGGATTGGTAGAGACATTTGTATGTGTTGATTTTATAATTAAAAATAAAACCAAATTAAACAAATACATAAGTAGGATCATGCAAGAACTAAGAGTGACTCTGTGTCCAGGTTCAGGGATTATATTTTAATCTGATTCTATGCATTTGAGTTTCCTTTTTAAAAGAAAAAAAAAGACTTTAAGCAACCCATTGATCTGAGTATGCCGATACCCACCCCTTGGCCAACACAGAACAATATGGATTCATAACAGGTGTCTTACCAGAATAGAAATAGAAGTTTTAAAACACAAGAGTGCTTCTAATTGGAAAATAGAGACCCAGGATAGTGCTGAATATCAGGCAGAAAGATTCACAGCCTGAGCCTCTGCCCCAAATTTTTTTTTGCAAGGTTCTGCCTTCATGCTGATTCTGACATCTGCTTCACCTGGCAGCTTGGGTACATGCTATGTGGGCTTCTGATCTATGTGGAGCAAGGGGGAGCCATGGGAGAGGCTATCTCTTGGAGTGAGGAGTGATGGGTGGCTTTCAATAGAGATGTTCCACCCCTTCTGCTCCCAGCAGTTGCTATGGATGGGCGCCAGGTTTGAGCGAAAGTGGGAGGACTGGCAGGCCTCCAGCATGTGCTTGGACCTTAGCGGAGAATGGAGCATGTGCCTCGAATAATTGCCTCCTCAGCACAGCAGTCTGGTTGCTATTGTTGTCCTGCTATTTTCTCTGAACAGGCCATGTTATCTTCTCCTGTGAATATTAATTTCCCCTGAGCTACGATAATTGGGCTGAGAGCAGCCATCAGCAGGGCTGTGCCATGTTGGCAGGACTTTTCAACAAACCCAGGCCAGAGGACCATTTTCTTGGAGTGGTGTCCAAGTCATCCAGCGAAGAGTCCGTTCTTTCTCAAGCGAGGTGACAGGGCTTCTCCCTGACCCTGACTCCCCGCCAGCTATGAGATAGCAGAAATGGGACTTAAACCTAGGATTTCTGAATTTTGGATTTGGAGTTTTCCCTCTAACTTTGGATACCTTTAATCAACTGGTAATGGAAAGAATCAATAAAGATCTGCTGAACACCTAGATTTGTAAATGTGAAGGTAAAAAATGAAATGTGCTCAGATCAGAAGTAAAATTAAATTTTAAAGTAATGAGTTTTGAGCAAGAGTAATTATTCCAATCCATAAAGAACATATACTTTTGACAATTGTGTCGTGGTTTCAGAGGAGTAATAAACTGCTGGAAATAAAAAAAAGGCAGAACAAGTATGTTATGAGTGAAGTCTATGTTGATAGATGGTGTCTCTGTTTTCAGTTAAAAGTACTTATTAGATATGTACCTGGTGCAGAACACAGTAACCAAATACAGAATCAGTCCCTGCTCTCACAGCAGCTGTCAGGTAATGGGAACAATGGCTTTAATTGCCCATTTATTGTCTAAGTACCACGACATGGGAGCAGCTCAGGGTGTGGTGGGGTTGGACACTCAGAGCCAGCAAGGTAGTCTTTAAAAGGTAATTATAAACCTATTGTGGTTGTCGATGGAGAGGCTAGTACTTTCCAATTGTGCCATGATCTGTGATCCCATCTGATCTCTTTTATGTTTTCCCCAATCCAGGTAACAACGGGTGGAAGAGCCAGCTACTATGTATCCTATCGAAGAGAGGCCTTTGCTCAAATCAAGCTGCCCAAGTACTCCTTGCCGAAGGTACAGCACATACCACCTGCTGTCCTGAGACCCGCCAGACAAAGTGAGGGCTGGAGAGGCTGCCTTGCCAGGCTGCTCAGAGGTCTGACCTCGGCTGGGAGGCCCACGGGTCATTGGCCTCACTTAGCCCTGGGTGGTTTGGCCACTGCTGATGTTCCCAAACCTGGGTTCTATATTCCCATTCTGAGCAGGTTGCCGGGCCTGAACTTTGATTTCCTGTGACTCAAACATCTGGTGTAACCTTGGGTCATTTCCCAGGGGTGATAATGAAAGGAGCACTGGCTTTGAAATCTCTTCTGAGGCCTTTCCCTTTTGCAAAGTCCTTATTGCCAAGTAGAAGGTCAAGTTCAGGCAGGAGCACAGATGCTACGTGTGTGTGTGTGCATTAAAGTGCACAGATAAGTCTGGTGGTTTTCTTGCTTCTCTTTACATTTTAAGGCTAAATATAAAGGGACTTCCATATTTCCACTCTTCTCAGCCACTCTGAGTAATTAAAATGGGGTCACCTGCTGGAATGTTAGCATCAAATGGTGACATTTTAACTCATCTTTTGAAAATCATAAAACTTACTCCGTGAACCCCATTTCTTGTGAACACTGGCTTCTGGGGGGAAATGGGTCTTACAACCTTAGTTTGAACAAGGACAGGGTATAATTGCATCACTTAATGAGGCTGCAGAGAGGCAAGTCTCCAGCTGGACACATATCAAGTGTAATGTGGCAAAGACATGGGCCTCTAAGCTAGCAGTAGAAACGCTGAAAGACTAAATGAGTGCAGAGATGGAGAATTATGGTATAAAAAAGGTGGATAATCTCCTATCCACTTGTGTTTCTATTCATTCTGGTTTTCTTGCATCCATCCATCCATCCATTTGGTTCTTCTTTTGATATATCCCTTTAGCTGTTTTTTCTTCCACATAAATGGTTATTCCACACCAAACACTGAACTAAACTCTATGGGTAGAGTAGTGATTAAAACACAAATGATCCTACTTTCCTGAATCATAGGGTCTGGTAGAGAATAGAGGCATTAAGCAACCAATTGTAGGTGTAGTGTAAGGGATTCAGAGTTCAGGGAGGTGAAGATAGATGAATATGAGTGGAAAGAGCAGTTTCCTAGAGGATGTGAAGTATAAACTAACACACGGGTAAAGAAAAGCTGATAGAAAATATAGTTGTTCCTTGTGATCTGTAGGGGGTTGGTTTCAGGATCCTCACAGATCCCAAACTTCATGGATACTCAAGTTCCTTATGTAAAATGGCATGGTGTTTGCATGTGCACTTTCTCCCATAAACTTTAAATCATCTGTAAACTACTTATAATACCTAATGCAATGTAAATGCTGTATAAGTTGTTGTTGTACTGTATTGTTCAGAGAATAATGACAAGAACAAAAAATTTGTATTTGTGTGGTACAGATGCAGGCCTAACTACAGTTTGTAGCTAGTCGAATCCATGGAACCCATGGATCTGGAAGGTTAACTGATGTGCATGGTCCTTATTTTAAGAGAAAGCATGGTTCATTTTACTAACTAAAAAGCCATCTTAAAATACAAGACTGCAGAGAGCGATTGGGGCTGAGGAGATGGGTAGGGCCCATACTAAATACCCTACAGGGCAGTGAGAACTGATTTTTCATCTCCCCTACCTTAACGATGACTGGCCTTCATAGGGCCATTGTCTAGGATTGTGACTGCAAGACATGCCCATCAGATATTCTAAACCCAAGCAGAGTAGAATTATCCTGGCCTAGAGAAGATTGGAAAGGGAAAATTCATAATCATGCTCTTCCTAAAGGAGAATGCTTTCCTCATAGTAGCCAGAAGGTCCTCATCTATTGGCCTAAGAAATGAGTTCCAGAAACTTTCCAAACCATCGCTTCAACATAGGCTCCTTCCATCTCGGTAGATGTGTGAATTTTATGTATTTTTAACCTTCTTAGGAAAACAAATAGTTTACTACCCTGAGCAATGTGGCTGCAGGTGGGAAAAAAATGAGGCCTCGAATTGATTACCACCTAAGAGCTCCATTAATGATTTGTAAGCCAGTGACAGAGTATTGTGGGGGCATATCAGTTGATCCATGCAGCCCCCTTATAGAACTTCACCTGGAGTTGCTTCTCATTGATATGCGGGCTGCTGTGAAAGTAACTGGATGGTTATCGACCCCCTTTATTAGCTGGTGTTGGCCCAGATTTTCAGAGTCAGGGATAAGGAGGTAGGGACAGAGGGGGAAAGGGAGACTGGTTCTTTCCATTGTTTGAAAATGGAAATGGATTTTAAGCAAGTCTTTCTGTTCCATATGGTGTCACTGTGGTCCCCCTTAGGAGTCTTACTTAAGAATAAAAGCATGGGAAAGCTCCCTGTCACCAATGCCCTTGTATTTCTGATCCCAGCCTGTCTGCTCAGAATATGCACTCCATGTTTTGGAGTGTTTTGCAGTGTAAAATTAGTGTCATTAGGATATGTAGCATTATAAGGAGAAGTAGCTTGTGCTGGACCCAACATAACTCAGTCCCTGGGCATTGGATTGGCACTTTCAGTCCCTAGGTATGAAGAGCATGTGCCAGTGGAAAGCATGGTGGCAGATGATGGGGAGCATGGTGTCCTAGAGAAAAGCCAGTTGAGCTTATGAGTAGAGACCCTGAACTTTCATTCTGGCTCTGCCACTTACCTAATCTTCTTGTCTGTGAAATGGACAAGGTTGTGATGATTCAATGAATGCTTTTCTGCTGGTCCAGTGGAAAATGCTTTATATATCTCAAGAATGATTCTGATTCAAAAGGAAATAATACTGATGTCTTAATTTTCCTGGCATGGAGATTCTGAGGGGAACACATCTCAGTTGACTTTGGGCTCCATATTGCCTAAGGCTCCCACTTTACCACTCTGAGTCTGATATACCCTGTTTTGTCTCTTAGATTCTACATTATTTTTATTTATTTATTTATTTTTTGTTTGTTTTTTCTACATTATTTTTTTTAAAAAAATTTCATTGTGCATTATAGTTGTACATAATGGTAAGATTTATTGTTACATATTCACAAAAGTATATGCTATAACAATACATTTGACCAATATCATTTCCCAGCACTTAGATTCTGCATTCATTTTTAACTTGCTATTCTACTAATCATTTCTACAACAGAAAAATTTTGGGTTTTTTCTTTTTCAGTAGGGGATTCAGGTTGGTAGTGTGTTGAACTTTGCCTGAGCCCCATGTTCCTGGAAAAATGGCCAAGGTTAAGAAATTACCCACTGTTTTGTGTTTGGGAAGTGGTTTGCTGCTATCTACCCCCATGACTTGATAAGACTTAGATGTCTGCCTTGTTTACCTACAACAAGAGCAGTCTCTTTTTTTGTCTTATAAATGAATAGCTGAACTTTAGTTCTATTGGCTAATCTGGACAAAATACCTGAAAATTTGAGTTGACCAAAATTAAATGTGACTTTTCCCCTCCCCTCAGTCCTTGAACTTTGCCCTACTCTTGAGTTTGTGCAAGCACTGGATGCTTCAGCAAACAGTGCAAGGGAGAAACAGTCCTCCTTCACAGGCCTTCTAAGGATCACTTGACCTCAAGTCATTTGATTTGTTCCATCAAGCCACCTGCTTACGAGACTCCCCATGCCCAGTTCTTCCTAGGATTATTTTACTTTGCTTATAAAAATAATTATTTTTCTGCTTTCTTTCTGAGATGCTTGCAAATATCACAGTCAGGATATTCTCCCTTCAATAGTCTCCTTCTGCCCAGGTCTGGGTTTGTTGCTCTTTGACAATAGAATATAGTGAATCCTATTTTGAATAATAGAAGAAAGTGATATGTCTTATAAAATGTTTTATAATAATAGTGAAAATGATATTAACCTTTGGTCTCCTTAGTTTGTACATTTCTTAAATTCCTGATTTATCCTTCTCCGCTATCAACTGTAATTGTAATCTGTTCTTACTTCCTGTTTGTTCTTCATCTCAATGCTAGTTGCCCTCTGCCTTCATGTCCAGCTATCCGTGGTTTCACTAAAAATCCTGCAGGTCTTGTTACCAGTGTCTACCTACATACCAAACCTCATACCACCCCTACACTTAGAACTCTAAACCATGTAGTTTGAAGTACATGCTCTTAAAGACCCATGTATTTAGTCCATACCGGAGCTCCTGTCTACACCTTGTATTTCTTGTGTCTCACCCTTCTCTGATATATATTTGCATACTCCATTTATTTATGCAGTAAGCTTTGGTTGGATGTGTACCATGTGCTAGACAATCTGATAAGTACTGGAGACAGAGTGATAAGAAAGACATTTTCTGCTCTCTAGAATTTCAAAGACATCAAATGTGAGTGAAAGACATCACACACACAAAAATCAAAAGTATGACTGTAATGAATGATGGAAAGGAAAAGCAGAGAGTTTGTAAGTCAGATACCTGAAGCTTTGTAGATGGGTACTTTTCCCTGTGCCCTGTAAATTTTGCCTCCTTAACATCTTACCAGTCTATTTCATAGTAGCCTTCAGAAAGACCTACTTCCTTAGTTGAGGCTCTCCGACATTCTTTCTAGATGACTGAAGTGACCTTTTAAGCCTTACTCCCTTGCCTCTAGCATTACCCCACTTAAATCCATCCACCCTTCACACTGATTCCACGGTGCATTTGATCACACAGGGACCTGATTCTCTCCAACCAAATAACTGCCTTTCTCCCACTTGAAACCTTGTGGGAGCTCTGTGCTACCTAACTAAAGGTTAGGTATGCCACATAGATCCCATTGTGATGTGGCCCCTATACACTCACCTCCTGCAGAGGAAGCTGCACTTCAAACTGTACTGAGTTACACACATTTATTTCCTTGAATGTACCCCCTGTCTGTAAGCCTTGTATTCCAGTCACTACATTCTGTGCCTCTATTATAGCATTTAGTCAAAAAAGACCACAAGATATGTACTATCTCCATCATCAGGAGGCATCTCCTTGGGGCCAGGTTCTCTCTCTCTCTCTCTCTCTCTCTCTCTCTCTCTCTCTCTCTCTCTCACACACACACACACACACACACACACACAGTATCTTGTACATGGCAAATTTTTGATGATATAGGTGATTATATAATTATGGCAGGCCCAGATTATAAGAAAATATTTCAAGAGCAAGAAAGTATTACAACATTGTTCACATAGAAGTCATAGGTTTTGTTTTTTCAAAAATCAATTTTGAATCTCCTAAATCATTGTTGGGAGGGCAGAGGAGGAGTGTTATTTATCACTTCTATTTGTTTTACAAATAGAAGCATCTATGTAGTTATGTCTGATGCTCTTTGAATTCCAACTGTGGTAGAGTATCAATCTGGATATAGTTTTACTTAATATTTTCTTCCTCCATCTTCTCTCTTCATCACCAAATTTCTTTCTGCACATTCTCAAGACCAGCATATAAGGAAGGGGCACATGCTCTGGAGTTTGATTGAAATAATTGGATTTAAGCAAAAGCTGTTATTGTCTAGAACTCTATTGGACCAATTTAAATTCATAATAGTTCTATTTTTTTTCTTGAAGATTTGATATTCTGGTTATTATTGGTTGACCCCAATTTAATCATAAGATTTATTTGGAGAGAGGTCACAAAGTTCACAATTTTTGAAGAATGATTCTTCAGACTTAGAAGCACAAGAATCATTTGGAGGGTTTTATCTGCTGGTAAAATATAAGGCTGTATACCAGACACACTGAATCATGAGCTCAGTTGGTGGTTCCCATGATCTGCATGTTATTGAGATCTCCAGATTTAGTTGATCCCTGTGGTGCCTGCCTGTAACCCTGGCTACTTGAGAGACCAAGGCAGTAAGATTGCTTGAGCCCAGAAATTTGAAGCCAATCTGAACAATTAGCAAAACCCATCTCTTAAAAAGAAAAGAATAAAAAGAAACTGACCAAGATCTCCAAGTCATTTGGATGCATACTGAAATTATATCCTCACTGATAAAATTGTTTAAAATGTTATCTTCTTGGTTAAGAAAATCTTGAGTTTAAATATTAGTGATGCCATTTGTTAGCTGTGTAACTTTGGATAAAGGATATTTTCAGGCAGACATCCCTGAATCCTAGATACTAGAGAGAAGTCTCTCACCCCAGCGACTGGCTACCTATTCCCAGAATAGTATTTACCTAACATGTACTTGCAGTAAAGTTGGCTGCCTCTAATCCTGACCATGCCCTGGTGTTTTACGTTGTTTTGTTCCCACTTCTTTTACATTAACTTTCTCTAAAATAAGTTAGCTCATTCATTTTTATGACCAAAACATCTGGGAAAAACCTGGAATTTCTATTGCATTTTTAACAGGATAAGTGAATTTAATCTGTATTTCCTGCAGCTGCTCTTTCCCCCCCTACTGGGTTCTTGGGTATTCATTCCATACCAACACAAAACAATTCCATCACATGGTTTTTAAGAGGAAGATTCTTTCTATTTTCAAGCAGCTCAGCAAGAACCTATAATTCTACAAAATACGTAAGCACAAATGAGAAAGTGAGGTTTTAGTCAAGGTGACCCAGAGGGTTCAAGGCCAGGAAGTTTGGGACAAAAGATCTCCAAAAAAGATCCAGAATTTCTTTTCCTACTCCTCCCATCTCCCAGTAGTCCAAATCAAATGGACTTGTTCATCTTGAAGGACCTGTCCATGGTGCTAATGTTGAAGATACTGCTGCCACTTTTTACTTGAACAGTTTTGGGGATAGGTTGGTCACATAAGGAAAAATTAGACCCAGTCTGATTATTATTGTCATCTCCAATTGTTCAAGATCCTATTGTGAGCACATTCCACCACAGGTACAAGGATGATTCTCCCTCTGCTATTACATTTTGACAACACAATTGTAGATTGATTGATAAATTTGGGGGGATTTTGTTTTGTTTTTGTTTTCCAGTACTGGAAATTTAACCTAGGAGCACTCTACAACTGGACCCTTAGTACTTTGTTAATTTTTTAAAAATTTTGAGACAGGATCTTGCTTAAGTTGCCAAGTCTGGCCTTGAAATCCTCCTACTTCAGCCACCCAAATACCTGGGATTGCAGACATGTAACACTGTACCCAGCTATGTGTACATGCATAAAGAACAGCTATTTTAACAGATTTTTCCATGCCATCATGTCTTCCTGACAATATGAGTTCCCTTGATAAGGTCTTGAACTTGTGGTAATCTTGGTATCGTGTCTAAACATATATGCAAACTGAATTTTGTAAATTATTTTGAATTGTGATTTTAGAAATTATCCATACTAAAGAATTATAAACTAAAGTGACCTCAGGGACCAGGAAATTAATGCCAGTATGTCAGTGGTAGCTCTTAAGAATGTGGAGGTGTGCAGGACTGAGGTTGAAAGATGCCAACTTCATCTAATGGCCAGAAATTCAGATATTTAATAGAGGATATGGCCAAAATGAGCATTTATGGTCATTGTTCACTTCACCAATCATCAGTTTGAAAACCCTGATTTGAGGCTACCTATGCAGTGTTTAGAATCCAATCCCCAGCTTAGAATCAAACCTCAGGATTTAAGAACCTAGTTGTGTACTTTAGTAGCTATGTAAACTAAAGCAAATTGTTGAACCCCACTGTGCCTTAGTTTACTCTTCAGTAAAATGGAAATAGTCCTACTACCTCCATCACAGAATAACTTTGATTTTCAATTTTAAAAATATATTTAGACAACTTAAAATAGTGACCAAGTACTGAGTGTTTTTCTTGGTATTCTACCTTTTTTCAATATTTAGTACAGAAAATGAAATACAGGGAGACTGACACATTCAACAATAATATAACTGACATAACAGAGCTTCTATTAGGATCCAGAGCACTAAATTCTAGGTTGAGCGTTCTTTTTTATCTACTGGTGATTTTCAAATATAATTCTGCTTTATTAGAAGGAGATCTTCTCTTATACTTTACTTTTTAAAAACTGCACAAAACTCCTGTATGTGTAATGGATTCTAGTGATGGTTTCTATGGTTAAAGCAGAATTGAAGGCCTAGAGCCTGCATTGGCTATGCCCTCCAAGTCACTCTTCTGGATGCTGTAGATTCTAGAGAAAAGTATGTGAGCCACTATACTACAAAATTTAAAAACATATGTGAAGGACAATTGATAGGATAGGTCCTGCTTCTTTGCATGTGTGAGCTTCTTCTTGTAAGCTGCACAACTCCCTGTTAGCATTAACACTAACTTTCAGATTTAAAAATAAAAAAAAATGAAAGTAGGTGAATTCCTCAAAGCCATGGAGAATGATATCCACCAAAGCCCCTTACACCTATCTTGCTGTCACTAAGTAAGGAACAGAAATCATGAAGTGTGTAATTTATTGCCTTGGTCCAACATAGAATTGGTTAACATTGCCTATAACTCAAGCTTTTGCTCAACCATTTCATAAGTCATGGTAATTACTGGGGTTCCCACTGGGCAGAGAGAGATGGAGATCTACTGCTTTACAGGCTTTCCATCTTCTTACAGGACATGCACATCATCAGTACAGATGAGAACCAAGTGTTTGCAGCCGTCCAAGAGTGGAACCAGAATGACACCTACAACCTCTACATCTCAGACACACGTGGGATCTACTTTACCCTGGCTATGGAGAACATTAAAAGCAGCCGAGGTCTAATGGGAAACATCATTATTGAATTGTATGAGGTATGTAGCCAAAATTGCCCCTCTCCTGGCCTGACTTCTCTTTTTCATGAATCTCAGTGGTATAAAAGCAAGTATTAGGGTCCTGGGTTGAGATCTCAGTGTGTCAATTAGCAGTTTGACTTGGGGAAAGGGATATATCTTGACTCCAGGAAATTAGAGATAAATTTACCCAATGAAATTATAGGGAGATGAGAGATAGTGTATGTAATGCATTTAGTGTGGTGGCTGCCTCAGTAGAATTCACATTCTTGTATGTATTAGCCTGATTACAAGCCAGAAATGAAGGTACATGGCTCAAGTAATCTCTTAAGTAGCTTTTTAAACTCTAGTTTTTCTTATTATTCCTAGGTAGAAAGAGTAGTACTGGTTAGTTATTGCTTAAGGTATCTGGAAAAATCATGTTTATAAAATGTTTTATATGAAATGAAAAAGCAATTATCACTCATAACAGTGAGGTTTTTATTAAGATGCCACCAGATGTTTACATCTATGCAGGGTGAAGAATTGGCCTTGACATGAGTATGGCACTCATGATGCAGGTTTTCTTTTTAAATGTGGTCACCAGATAAGAAATAATTTCCAAAGGAAACCAAGTGACTCCATATAGGAACCAGAGAATAAACTAATTTCAGTGACTCTAAAGATGTGATGCTTTTTTATATCTCTAGTGACAGTGTGTAACCATGGACAGTCCTGATGTCAGTGAAGAGATGACTGAGCACATGGATATGTGATGGATTGATTTAAGCAAGGAAAGTGTGTCTTACTATCCAACATTAACCAGTGGCTGGTAGTGAAGCCCATACAGGTTGTGATGATCAAGATTATTTATTCATGGAAAGATAAATTATTTATTCTGGATGGTGACCCCTGATGCCCCGGGTGAGATGTTCCCTTGTGTATTTTCCTCTTTGTGGAGTGGTAGTGGCTTTTAGAACAGAGAAGCCATACATGGGCTTCTGATTTAGAGTGGTCTCCCCTGAGGCATCCTTACAGTGATATCAAAGTAGACTACTCAATTACTGAGAGGGGTAGAAACAACTTGCTGTTTCTGTTAGGAAGAAAGAAGAACACACAAAGACATGGGGAACATGGAAGTACCTGCCTTTTACAAAGAATAGATGTCATTAGGTAGAAAGCAAAATCAGTAGAAATACCCCATGTCTCTATAGTATAACTGACAAGTGCTGAAATGATTCTCTTAACAAAGTCTCAGTTGGGGAAATGTTCCAGATTTCTTCCCAGAGTTGAGAAGTCTGGCATAGATAATTAAGGGGTGTGAATAACTCTGGTGACTTGCATTCCCATGCTCATAATCAAACAGGAGGCAGAAATACACCTTTGTTAGTGGCAGTAAGTCATGTTTGGATGCCTATTGCCAAAATGAGGCCATTCAAGTACTATTTGCATATGTAGATCTATAGGGATAAGGTGATTGATTATTCATGCCTCCGTGGTCAGACCCAAAGAGGAGAGAGTAAGTGCTGTAGGTGAACTTCCAGTCCAGAAATCAAGGAGTCCTTGTATCTCTGGCCTCCTTGACACATCGGGTGAGTTTGCCGCTGTGTTGTTTCTTTCATAAGAAAGAGAGCTGGCAACTCCAGGTCATTTAGAACCTTGAGACACTGCGACCTGAATTGGAACATGAATCAATATAAAGAATGTGCCAGATACATGTAATTTTTTTTCTTCCTGCTGAAGTCAGTCTTGTGTTTTCAGTCTTGCTTGGGAGGAAAAAAAAAGTAAGGTATGTATGGTATCATTGCATTATAGAGAAGCAAGACATACCAGTCAGGGCAACTTCTTTAAAGCCCGCTCTGTGAGCCTATCTCCATTCTAATTTACCAGAGTTGTTTGTGCACAAACATTGTGTTTAAGCCCACAGGTAGTCTGTAGAGATCTTTGGTTCTTGTTGTCTGGGAGCTTATAACCTAGCTTGTTGAGTTTAAGAGGTCAATATCACTGTTGCTTTTTTTACCCACCCAAAGCTGTAACCAATTGAGACAGAGAGAAAGAGTGAGACAAATGGATATCAAACACAACTTTATCACTTTAATAATTACATAAGAGAAAGTAGGGTGCTAATCCTATGATTTGGAGATGGATTCATCCATTTAGTCATAGGCAGACATGATTAATCAAACATTCTCCTTTAGAAGCTTTTTCCTCTAAAAACACAATATTGAGGTATAAGAACATGTGATTTATTCAGGAGGAACACAAAACAGGGGAGTTGGGAATAAGCTGTACATGCCCAGCTCTTTTTCTCAAAGTTCCTGATCTTATTATCAGTCCTTTTGCACTGGGATGGAAGAAGTGAAAAATGAGAGTCATCCCAAATATTAAGAATGGCATGAACCAAGGACTAAGCAGATGGTGTAGATTTTGGAGGAAGTACGCTAGCCAGTCTAATGATATAAAATGGATGCTTTTCAGGTACAAGAATGAGGACTGGATAAGTAGCTAGGTTTCAGATTCTAGAAGGCATTTAATAAAGTAACTAAATTGCAAGCTGACATCATCTAGACCATGACATATTGAAGATGTTTAGTGAGTGATACTGTTTTGCACCTGGACACATATACATTCTGTGGTTTGGAGAGAGAGCTCAGTTTAATTGGTCTCTAGGGGTCATTAGAATTTATCCTTCTTAACTGGAGATTCTCATACAAATTGAGATTATGTGCCAGATGGCCAGTTAGCAAAGAGACTCCAATTATTCTGGACTCCAAGTGCTTTTGAGTAACATGACTGGGAAAATTCATTAAGTTTTCACATGCCACTCAGCTGAGTTCACACACTTTCACAGGACATTTTGTTTGGTGATGGGAGGACTGTTGTGTGAGACACAAAATCTACTGGAAACAGATACGTGATCCTGTGAGGGTAGTGATCACAGTCCAACTGGCATTAGAAGTTCAATTCTACCATGTTGCGTGATCACAAAAGAGAAAAATTAACTCTAACTTAAGGAATGGGGGAACCTTATAGATGAGCTGCTTAGATAACTCACTGCTGGAGGTGGGGAAAAGAGAACAGAGTCAGATGAGTAGAGGCCTGTGCTCACAGAATGCTGAGTGGCAGAGATGAAGATTGTGAAGGTACTGCAGAAGAACTTGACGGGAGAGTCGGGCGTTCATTCTGTGGGTTAGTGTTTCTCTCTCCTCACCCACCTTTGCATACCCAGGAAATAATTTTTGCATGTGTAATGTCATCCACAGTCCTGGGATAATTTATAACTTCATAATGTAATATGACATTATACCAATTTCCCTTGTCTGAAAGGTCAGGGACCCCTAGGTAATAGTCAGCTGTCTGTGGCTTGGGTTGATTTTGACCACTTCAGGCTGCTGGTGTATCTGTCCATTTCCACATCTTCTCAAGCCTCTTACTGACAATGGAAAGGAGACAAAGAAAGCTAGAGCTTACTCAGGAATTCAACTTGCAAGCCTCAGCTCTGACAGTCCTTGGAGAGTGAAGTAGATCAACCCTACTGAATTCCCCCAAATCTTATAAGGCCGAGACAATTTCTGTCTCTAATCTATTGGAGAATTCTCCTGCTGTAGAGAGATTCTCTGGCTTGTTCATTGTCTAATCCCTACTTCAAAGTACAATATTGTCATGGCTGTAATTACATAATTAGGAGAGAAAATAGCACTAGAAGGCCAAATAATAATTGATCTCTTCTTAAGGTGTCAGAAGCCTGCTCCTTCAAAACAAGGCTGGTGTTGACAGTGAAAATAGTCTATTGTGTGTGCTTACCATTATTCTTATGACAGTTTTTTTTTCATACAGAACTCTTGTGGGTTTTCTTTCCACATCTCTGACAATAAACTACATTTCTTTTTCGTTACCTTGCACTAATAAATCAAGAAACAGATATTCTTTTCAACACCCACAGTTATTCTATAGAAACATGCTCTGAGCTGCAGGTCTGATGAATTTTCTTCAGTGCTCTCCTGGATATTAAGCATTCCAGTTGTAACTTCTTACAAAGAACAACAGCTTAGCAACAATGCTTTCGACCAGCACTGTCAAATATCAAAAATATTTAACGTGAGCTACATATATACTGATACATTTTTGCTACACTCATTTTAAAAAGTAAAGAACAGACAAAATTAATTATGACAATATTTTTATTTAAATGATATATGTAAAATATTATCATTTTAGTATGTGCTCAATATGAAAAGTAACTAATAAGATATTTTGTATTTTTCCTATATGAAGTCTGCAGAATCCTGGATATATATTACATTTCCCCCACATTTGCACTCATGTGCTAAATTTTCAACTGAAATACTTGATCAGTAGTTACATTTCATAAAATCTCCAGTGTGAAAAAAGGAAATTCACATGTCATGTACTTCCAACAAAATTGAATTTCAGTTCTTAAATTTAAGTTTGTATTGGTTAAAATTAAATAAAATTAAAAATCAGTTTCTTCATCTCACTAGTCATATTTCTTGTAGCTATATGTTGCCATCCAAGTGGTTACCATCTTGGATTGGATAGACCAAAATAACTTAAGTACTATTTCTTATTATCTCTCACATTATTTCTGTATGAAAAGCATAATTTCCCTTTGTGCCTATAAAGTCATAGGAGTCAGTAACATGACTCAGATGACATGGTTAATGAACTGTGCTTTTATATTTGAAATAACCCATGTGCAGTAAGACTTACCCTTTTGGGCATATGGTTCTAATTTTGATAGGTACATACAGTTGTGTGTTACCACCACAATTGATACAGAAGAGCTCAGTTCCTCAGAATATTCCCTCTTACAGCCCTTTTGTAGTCACCCCCTATCCCACTCATTATCATGACAGCATCCACCTGACTTCTCCTTGCCTTTTCACTGGTTTACATAAATAGAATTATTTAATAGGTAATCTTTGAGGTCTGACTTTCATCCACTTAGAAGACCTGTCCACCTTGTTGAACATATCAATAGATACTCTTTTTTGGTGGCTGAGTACTCTTCTATTGCATGAATATTTATTATTCACCAGTTGGAAGAAACATTTACAGTTTTGTGTGATTATGAAAAAAATGTCGGCAAACATTCACATGAACATAAATTTTTATTTCGCATGGATGAATATCTAGGAGTAGATTTCTGGGTTGAACATCAGGTTATGTTTTTCAGAAGCCATCAAAATGTTTCCATGGTGGAAATTCTATTTTGCACCCTCACAGCAAGGTGTGTGTGGCAGTTGCTTCACATCTTCAATAACGTGCCTTACTATCCACTTTGGAGAGTATGTTTGTGCATGTGTGTGTTGAACCATTCTGATGAGTACCTAGTGATACTTCATTATGGGCTTAGTGTGGATCTCTCTAGTGACTGTGTTGACCCCACTATACTTGGATGGATAAAATGAAACTCTCTGGCCTCAGTGTTCTGGTCTCTGCTCATCTTATTGACGTTTCCTTGCTTTCTCTGTCCTTAGTGTCTGCCTTCCACCCTCTGCTTTATCATGACCTTCAGTGATCCTTCTTGGGCCAGATGGACAGCTGCTTTATAAGCTCCACAGGGACATTTTTCCTGAACTGACCTTCATCAGACCCTCACCACAGGTCCGACTCTAGGGACAGCCTAAGGCAGATTATGGTAATTGCTTTTCTCAGCAGAACCTTGGCTTCTTTGTCCTGAGGTCTCAAGAATGTGACCAACAGATGACCATGCCACCTGGACACAGTGCTCTGCCAAGCGGCCTGCTGTCAGTTTCCCTCTGCACCTCAAATTGCTTCCCAAGGGAAAAATGGGCCACTCAGACCTGATACCTTGTACCTTCTTTTTGAGTATCATTGAAAGCTAGTACCCCTTTCCCTAGACTGCTTGGAACTATCAGCAGCAGTCACTGTTCAAGTTCAGGCAAGGACAAAAGTGTGTTTAAAGTTTATTAAATGTTAATTACTTCCTTGGATGAAGAGGACTAAAAATGTGTGTTTCTCTCTCTTTTCCTTACATCTTGGGTAGTGAGGCTGAGCCATACTCCGTGGTACCCTTATGTCAGAAACACGTGTCCATACATGTGCACATATATGGACACTCATGACCATGAGTCTACTAGGTTGCAACCCAAGCATATTTCTAACTTGCATTACAATGAAAAAGTGAAAGCCCTTGGCCTGGAATACACAAAATCAAAGTGCCCTCTCAACTTACAGTCCATTTGTATAAGACATGGAGCCAAGAAGCGATTTAGTAATAATGCAAGGGCTCTGAACTGTCCAAATACAAATGGGAAGTGTTCTGATTCTTTCAGAGAGGAGGGAGGTGGCTGTGGCATTATGTTCAAGTGCAGAAGAAATGCCTTCAGAGCTACCATGAATTCCATGGAATATCTTCTCTTCATCTTTTCAGAACCCCCTTTTCCTGATTTTTCCATCACAAAGTTTCTGTGGGATGCACAGAAAATGTTCCTCTGAGTAGCAGAACTCTCAGTGGGAAAATTGGTTAATGACCATTCCATTTGCTGAACCTGCTCATCTGAAAGTACATATTCCTGCTCTAATGTACCCAGCAAGGAAGCAGGGGTCAGGTGACAGGAGCCTCTCAGGAATACTGGTCATGGGCCCAGAAATCGGAGGCTGACCTGCATATTTTTCTCCTAGGAAGTAAATTGGAAGGCCCTAGGTATATGTTGGGGGTGTTCCAATTGATTTAGGAGAGAGGGTTCACTGATGGTCCCTCAACAAAGGCACCAGCTCTGTGGCCAAAGAGAACACCAGAAAAAGGGATTCCATCTGGCAGAAGAGAAACCCACATTCCATTCTCTGTGAGAAATAATTGGCAATCATGCTGAACCAATACCCATGTCCAATACCACTGTACTTGATCTTAAAAACTGAGACTAATGGGGGTCTTTAAAGGGGTCTCTAGGTGAGCAGCTTTCCTAAAATGGCACTGACTCTGGGCAGGGTGAATCTGGTCAACGGCTCCTCCCTGGCTCGGGCTTCTCTCTTTGCCCACCCCTCTGTTCAAGGTAGGAATCTAATCAATTTTATTGCTGGCCATTTCTCAAATTCCCCAAGCAATGTCCTTCCCTGATAATTCTATTCTATGACATTCTCTGTCCATTTGTTTTATTATTTTGTGTGTTTTATTTTGTTTGGGCTGACATTCTCGTTCAAGGCCAGTCAGGTTACTACAAAAACAAATGAACAACAGCAACAAAAATATTTCTTGTTTCGTCAACTAAAGTTTGTCATGTAGTATAGGGAGGAAACCTCCTGTGAAGCTTTTCCCATTGATATTCTTCCAGAGAGACAAAGAACCCCAATTAGCCATCCTCAAAGTATAAGGGATAAATGGAACTGAAATTTTGATGGACCTCAGTATTTTCCAGCAAACTTGCCGTTCGACCTCTTGTTTACATGTATTTATACTATTGGAATTACCTTTTGACCTTTGAAAATGCTGAAACTTACACATAAGGTAACAGGAATCTTTCTTGGGTTCAGAACATTATTATTCTAAATATTTGCTCTTATCTAGCACATCAAATAGAAGGAGTAGAGTTTTGGTTAGCCTAGAACCCTTCTGGTGTGACACATCTCCTTTATTACTTCAGCCACTTGCCTTGCACTGATGCTCTTTTCCCTTCAAAATATCAAGGTCAGGCAAATTCCAACACATCAGGAACTCTGGCAAGAGTGCTCTGCATTATCTATCTCATGGAGCCTTTGCCAGCCAACTGGGGAAAGGAAGAGGAAACCAGGGTTATTCCACCAATTTAAAAATGACCATTGCCTGAAACCCAAAGATGGTATGTGAGTTGTCCAAAGTCACAGGGGGGAGCTAGTGGCATGGACAGAAATCAATACCAATACCAAAAGCGTCTACCTTACTACTAATTGGGATTCCTGGACTTCTGCATTAAAGATTGTCCTTTGATGCCTTAAAAATTCATCTGTAAGTCCCACTTGAGCTGAAGCATGTGTTCTCTGGAAGATGCAACTCTTCACTTGTTACCAGAGACTGTTAAAAGTTAATGAAAGGTAAGGTCCTATGGAACAAAGTATGGAGCAACATAAGATGGGGAAAGCAACTGAGTAAGTAGGGGATAGAGCATCTGAGGAGCGAGTGTAGAGTGCAAAGATGAACTTCAACTTCTTTCAGAGACCACAGGGCCTATACCATTTCTCACCAGGTTCTTCCTCCTCTCTTCTGTATCCCTAACACTCCATAAAGAGTGCTGGGGCCTCATGCAGGGCTTCTTCAAGAGTACAGGCATTTTGGCCCAACACAGTTCTCCATCTCTCACCTTTTTTCCTAGGTAGCAGGTATCAAAGGGATATTCCTGGCAAACAAGAAGGTGGATGACCAGGTGAAGACTTACATCACTTACAACAAAGGCAGAGATTGGCGCCTACTGCAAGCTCCGGATGTGGACCTGAGAGGAAGCCCAGTGCACTGCTTGCTGGTCAGTCATCCCTGGGCAGGCCAGTTTCCTGTGGAACCTGTGTCGAGGGCTTTCTTCCATGAAGGTGTCTTGGGAGCTTGGCTGGTATTGAGCATCAGTGCCCTACAACTCTCAGGAATTGTTCCCTTAGGCTCAGATGGCCACACCACTTGGGTGGAAGCCTCAGTTGAATTGTATATTCTATTACTGAGAATCCACGTGTGCTCCAGCTCATAGTAAAATAAAGAAACAAGTTACAGGCAGTAGAACTAACACACCTGTTGACCAGTACAATATAAGATGCAGGTTAGTGAGTGCTCATAGATGACAAGATAAGCAAAAGTTGCCTTTGAAGCAAGGAAAAGTGAGATTGGTATGTCTTCGTGGGATAGCAGTTAACCCATCGGCTTTCCCAGCTACCTTCTGTAAGGAACCCTGGGTAGGCACCATGGAGGACATCTCTGCTTCTAGGTGCTGCCATCCCGGGTGGCAAGGAAGACAGTTAACTTTCAATAACACTTGTGACCTTCAATGCCCTCTTAATGGGGACCTGTACCAGAAATTATTCCAAGTTCTGAGAAGTGATTTTTTTTGTTCCGAGCAGAGAGTTGACATTCACCACATACTAAGAAAGGTTTATTAACCATTTGTCATAGTCTATATTGTGTTAAAAACTGAGTCTAGAATGGAAGATAGGACAGATAGGGTCCTGATCCTTTTATAGTTTCCAGTCTAATGTTTTTGGCTTTTTTTTGCTCTGCTTTGCTTTGAGTAGCAGGAAGGTCAGAGACAAATGGCTGCCCAACTCTGAGAACAGATCACAGCATATTTTTTCCCCTCACATCTTACCTATAGCTTCACTTTATTTTTTTAAAAATTTCATTTCTTTAACTTCATTGTCTTATTTGTAGTTATTTGTATAGGATATATCTCTATAAATTTCCATGTCCTTTTAAAAATTCCCCCATGGGGATACATAAGTAAATAAATGGAGAATATAAATATATATGAGTTTCATATAATAACACCAAATATTTTAAGTGAAATTCAAGTAAAATTATGACAGGAACAAAAATAAATAAGACAGAAACAAAGACAGTCCAGTTGAAGGACAAGGATAGAGGGCCTGGATTCACTTAGGTTCTCCTCTTCACTGCTCCTGGTGGCCCCTTAGAGCTCTAAGAATCAGAGTTCCATGGTCAAAATCAGACACAGGAGGTCACTGTCATCCTGTGGGAAGGGAAGGGATGGGGAGGTAGGCTTCCTAAAGTGACCCATGAGCTGGACCTTGATGGATGAGTGACGTATCAGTGAGGAAGAAAGGAGAATGTGTGGGACTGTGGGTGGGCACAGAGGTGGAAAGGGACTATGAAAGGGCTCAAGGCAGCTCTAATGTGAAATGCTGACCTTGGCAGTGAGACATGACTCCCGCCCAAAACTAAGCATGGGGCTCATCATTCACTACCTTTCCATTTCTGGAGGCCACATCTCTGCAGGGGAGTGTGTAGGTCAGGAGTCCCTGGATGAAGCTCTCTTCTTCTTCTTCTTCATTTCAGCCCTTCTGTTCCTTACACCTGCACTTGCAGCTCTCAGAGAATCCATATTCCTCAGGCAGAATCTCAAGTAAGGAGACAGCCCCAGGACTGGTGGTGGCCACAGGTAAGGAAAACATTCCCTGTGCTTTTTCCTCACCACAGGCTTTTGGAATAAGTTTGCCGTCTATTGTTGGATCATGGACACATTTGGGCATTAGATGAAAGCTATTGGAACCCTCCCCAGAAAATATGCAGGATTCTTGGATCCTCAAAGCTCATCTTAAGAGTCTAGGGTCCAAAGACCGGGCTCTATTGCTTTGGGCCTGAAGGGAAGCAGAACATTAGGAAGAAAAGTGTGGTGGGGAAAAGCTGCTCAGCTCAATGGATTAATCCACTGATGTGGGCAGAATCCTCATGATACAATTCCTTCCCCAAATCCTCTCCTCTGAACATTGCTGTATTGGGAATGAAACCTCAATACACGAAGCTTTGGTAGATATTTCAGATCCAAACCATAACACCTGAGATGTTGGGAGGGATATAACACTGCTGACAAGATTCTGTTGGAAAACCAGAGCTGAATCATTGTATTTTGTGACTTCTAGGTTAATGCATCCTCTCCCAGTAACAGAGGGGTCCCCTGTGTTTAGCAAGAGGCCAAAATTCCTGTTAAAGAGACTGGTCAGAAAGGTTGTTTATAAAAGGGAATTCTCACTTTAAGAAAACATGATGTATGAACTTCCGAGCTCTCCAAATAAAAGTTGGGGCAGTTTTCTCTTTACACGGAGGATACTTTACAAAGGGTTTCACCCCAGAGCTGTTTTTAATCAGGAGGTCTCTGGTGCATGTAAAGGTTTATTTACACATGATTAAACACTTGGCTGAGAGCCTGGGGGAAAGGGCAGAAAAACTTGAGGTTGTGTTGTTGGAACTACTGTCCACTGAGCATCAATCAGAAATGAAGATAAAGCAACTCTGAAATGAAAACGAAAGTCTCCGGGGAGTGTGCTGATTAGCATGCATTTGATTTGCATACACCTTTTCAGGAATACATTGATGGCATAATGCAAGTTAGGTTTCTAATCTTGGAAGGTAGAGCTCTGGTGTCAGGCAGCTTTTTTCCTAATGAAAGCTGGTGAATTCACAGTGACTTTCTGAGGAGGTAGGTACATTCTGTTTTCTCTCATCAGCCCAAAGTTCTGGCCTCTAGATTTCCTGCAATACTAGATCTGGCTGCTTTCTCTAATCCTCCAACTGAGTCAACTTTGAATACCACCACTTTAATCACACTGACAGCTTAGGGTAGCCTGCTGGCTTCTCAATCAGGTCCTTTCAACTAGATATAGACAGGATTCACTGCTGGCCTTAGGAGCCCAGGACAGTGAGAGATGAAGGCAGGCTCTGTTGTTGTGTTCCTGACTTGAGGAATGATCCCCGCACTCCATAACCCATGTGAATTGGTCCTTCTAACTCAGGAGCTGCTACTCCTGCCTCTCCTCAAGGGCTGCAGGAGTCCCAGAGCTGAAGTAGAAGCATCACTGGAAAACAGCAATCAGTAACAAAAGTTAATATTATTTGAATGCTTATGAGGTAGCCAGGCATTGTTCAATGTGTTGTAACCACTCTGAACTTCAGTGTTTTCATTGGCAAAGTGAGAATAATAGTACTGACATGATAGAAATGCAGGATTAAATGAAGCGACGAGTTTCAAATGCTGAGGACTGTGCTCAGCACATACAGAATGCTCGGTACATGCTACCTGTCATCGGCATTAGTATTATAGAAGCTAAGGCTGTTCTTCTCACATTCAGAAGAATACAATTTGTTCATCTCCTTCAATAGAATCCATAAATAATATGCACACATTATGCATAAAATGAAACTCAGGAACCCTGTCGCCCTTCTTTCTAAGCTTAGCTCTGACACTTACTGGGCTTGTGAAGTTGGCATAGGTTTTAACATCTGAGCTTCGTTTCCCTCATCTGTAAAACAGGGATATTTTCTACCTTGCAAGGGCGTTGTGAGGATTAGAGATGGGATAGCGTGTCGACAGGACTGGACAGAGTGCTCAGAGCTTATTGAGGTGGGGTTAGTTCTAGCTGTTATTATCTGCGAACTGTATAGCTTCTAAATTGGTCTGTTAATTCTTGTGAATTAACTAACATGCAGACATTAAAGATTTGTTCTTGAACATTTTTTTGTCCTTATACGTCAAAATTGATGAATTCCTTTTCCCTCTCCCGTGTAACTTCTGAGGCTTTCTGCCAGCCCTGGTGTAGTAGTCACCATTTCATCTGTGACAAATACCTAAGAAAAAGAATTTAAAGGAGGAAGGGTTTATTGAGGCTCATGGTTTCAGAGGTTTCAGTTCATGGTTGGCTGGCTCCAACCATTGCTTTGGGCCTGAGGTGAGAGGAACATCATGACAGAGGGGTGTGGCCAAGGAAAACTACTCAGCTCAATGGATTAATCCAATGATGAGGTCAGACCCTAGTGATGCAATCACTTTCCCAAATCCCCACCTTCCAACACTGCTATACTGGGAACCAAGCCTTCAATACAAGAGCCTTTGGGGGACATTCCAGATGCAAACCACACACTTGGGGTATTGGAAGGGTTATAGCACTGCTGACAAGATCCTGCTGGAAAGCTAGAGCTGAATCACTGGCACATGGCTCTTCGTGCTCAGCCTTTCCTCACCCTGCACACCTGGTCTCTCTGCAAGGTTTTGTGCCATCAGGAAAATAACTAGGACATCACTCAAGTATGCCTTCAGTGACCTGTAGGACCTTTCCTACATTCATTCCCCTACCTCCTTTCAGGGGCCCTTGGACCTCTCTCTTTCATTCTCCCTTCTCACTCCCATTTCCCACGTTGCCTTGAGAAATGGTCTCAGGGAGGCTGTGTGTATGAATGTGTGTCCTGGGCTTCATTTCTGGCTCTCAATGAGGACATCTCAGAAGGCAGATTGAATTCCAGGCTGGAGTTTGGCAACTAGGGTGGCCACTGTCCTGAGCACTACTTTCCAGCTAGTAGTAAAGACTTCACGTCCTCATGGTGCCCTACTGTGTACAAAGCACCTCCATGCCCTTAGGTGCACAGGGACCCTGTGATATAGAAAAGGCAGCCACAATTCTCGCCAATTTATAGATGAAGAGACATAGGGCAGGTGGGGACAAGTTTTATGCCCAAGCCTACTCTCCCTCTGACTGCAGGATAGTGCTTGATCCTGTAGTCATCTAGCCACACGTGCCTCTTCCACAGCTAACTTGTCTCTGCCCTGCTTCCTATAAACTCAGAGTGTCCTCACCTCATGTTACTCCCTTCCCTGGAGAATCTTCACCTACTGCGTCTCACTGTCCACCATATGTCCTTTCTCCAGTGGGCCCCAAGCTCCCTGTATGGGCAGGTTCTCATTCTGATATCAGTAGTGATAAGAAAGAAACCTCTCTAACTCCAGAAGTCTCCAGAGTATTCCCTCTCTCCCTCTCTCTAAGAAGCATAGAGGGGTATCACAGGGATGAGATAGGTGTAAAAGCAAGTTGTTTAATGATTCCAGAAAGGGCCATGGAACCCTTCTCATTTATCACCTGGGCTGTTGGTGAGAAAAGCTCGGTGACCTACACCCAATCCTCCTCCCTGTCTCCTGCCACACAACCCAAATGGCTATAGCTCCCTCCTTCCAACCTTCCCCTTGGCTACTTTTGTTGGGCCTCCCCAGTTCCGTGTTATCCCATGAGGCTCGTTATTCAAATCTTCCTTCTCGGACACCATCACCTAAGCTCTTCCTATCAGAGATTGCCCACAGGGCCACAGAGCCACTGAACAAGTTCAAAGATCAAACTATCCAGGATACATCTTTTCTGTCCCTTCATCTGGGAACCAACTTTCTGGTCCCTGGGATCACCAGCATATCTTTGACGGTGCCCGTAGATTGACAGAACATATTTCCAAAAAGAGACCTCACTAGGAACCTGGGGTTCTTGCCACCAGGAAGCCTCCAAATTAGTCTAGTCAGGCTTTGAAAGAGAAGCTGAAAATGTTAGCAGAACCAGCTTCTGGGGGATCAGATCCTAAGAAGCCACTCCAGGGATGGCAGGTATGTGGCTCTAGTGCAACTCTGCTGTTGCTGCACCCCACCGGCCTCTCTGAGGTCCTTGCTCAGTATTACTAACGGATCACCACACTGTATTCTGTGGGAATCACATAGAGTTCCCAATCCTTTTTTGTTGTTGTTTCTCTCCCAGCAATTCCAGGAAGCCACCACCAAACTCTAGCTGACATGCTCTGTCCCAGCCCTCTTTACTTTTGCCATCTATATCTTCTTTACCTGTATTTGGAGAGTTGAATTCCAAATTCTAGACAGATCTCCCAAGAGCCTCTCCCCACTCTTCTCACACCTACCGCCTGAGCCCTGAGCCCTGGGGTTATTTTTGGAACCCTGAGTGTCAAAACAAGTTGCCTAGCGGTGTGCTCCCTAAAGCTGACGGGAGCTTGACAAGCTGTAGCCTGGCTTTAATTTCTCATTTTGAAGCATTAAATGTCAGGAGCTCAATTAACATTTTCATTATTGCATTTTTATTGTGCTCTTATTTAGGCTACAGATGTGTGGGAGCAAACATTCCCTTCCTGCTATTTTTAAAGGAAAAAAATACCAGCCAATGTGAAAAATTCTTACATGTTTAGGGTACCTTTCTGTTTTTCAATATGTCCCCAAGTGCACATCAACATGAGAACACCATTCAATCATTTATTTAAATCATGCTTTTTTTTTCCCCCACAGTTTTTAAATGAGCACTAGCTACTAAGTTTGGAGTCTTGTTCTAGGCTTTGAGATAAGGACTATCCACTGGGGAGACCAGGGCAAGACAGGCAGAGTAGAAAATATTGATTATTGTTTTTTCAATTAATATACAAGGTGATGGAACACAAGGGGAAGATAAAAATGGGCAGAGAGAAGAGAATATGGTGGGTAAAAGCAGTAAATGTGGTTCGTCCAGACATCTATAAAGGTGGATGCTAACTGATCCAGGGTCAAAGGCCATGCATGCTGAGTGTGGTCATCGTATTGTGGGAAATTTCTGATTTAGCTCATGTAGTCTACACCATTGGGTCACTCAACTGCCTGGCACCTAAGAGACATGCTGGAAATATATGTTGGAAATATACATACAAACACACATGTCCATAACACACACACACACACACACACTCAAACATACCAGTTTTTCTTAGGATAAAATTATATCTGAGGGACCACTATGCCAGCCTCTCCATGCATATTTACTCTTGTTGCCAACTTCAGAGGACACCTGTCAAGAGCAATTTACAACAGCATTGGTGTATGGAATAAATAATTCAAGAGACCCACCCTGATCAATTTTCAGTCTTGAGTCTCACCATTTAAAGATGAACTCCTGTCATACTATTTACTTTATCCCCCATATTGGGTTTTTCTTCCTGCTGGGTTTTTGATATGACATCAGGGAAGCCTGCACAAATCAACTGCAAGCGTCACTTAGGACAGCTTTACCCTCTGATACTCCCTCCTCCACTCCTGAGCACACTTCATCTGTAAACTGCCTGGCAATTTCAAATGATCTGCGATCTGCTTGTATTTCAGGCAACATTGGCCCAGAGCTCTCCTATACTGATATCGGTGTGTTCATCTCCTCTGACGGGGGCAACACATGGAGACAGGTAACTGGGATGATTCAGGAAGAGGGAAGAGGCCTGTAGGGTGAGTTCTACCAATATCACCCCTTCCTACTGATCCTCAGGTTTGTTTGACTTTGAGGTTGAAAAAAAAAAATGAAGTCGCTCTTTAGTTTGGTCAATGTAGCTGGAAGTTTAGGGGGCAGTTGGAAGAGCATTGGGCAGGGATTGGGAAGAACTAGCACTTTCCAGGCTGGTTCATTCTTTCCTTCTGCAGTATGTATGTAGTTGCCAGTGGATGCTAACCACTATGCTGGTTGTGGGGATACAACCAACAAAACTATTCCTCTCATTAATGTGCCAAGGGATCTTGGCAAGCAGGTCTCTTCACCTTTCTGCATCCATTTATTATTGTTGTTGTTTTTTTATCTACAAAGTGAAAGATTAGCAATTTAAAACTGACACAGTAGTAGAAGTCAGTGGTTGTTTAAGTATTGTGTAGACCCATCTCTCAGTAAATATAAGAAAGAATAATAAATACATGACTACATGAAAAATTAATTCAGTTTTACAAACAGCAATACTGCCTAATAGAACTTTCAGCAGTGGAGGAAGTGTGCTGAATCTATGCTGTCTCGCATGGGTCCTGGGCACTTAGTTGTGGCTAGTGTGACAGAGGAGGTGACTTCTTTATTATTTTAAATAGTTCAAATGTGAGTAGTCTCATGGGGCTACAACACAGATTTATCCAATATCAAGTAGGCAGAAGCCTCAGTATTTGCAATTTCTTTCCTCAAAAAGCTGAAAATTAAATACAGGTAACAGGTTCACAACAAACTGATTATAGTCCAGGGTGATTGTATTATTTTAGTGGCATTTATTGGCATGCAAAGGAAAGGGGAAGGTTGATTCCATTGGGGAACTAGGACAGACTTCAGAAGAGGAGATGATGTTTCACTCAGTCTTGGAGGTGAGAATGTTTCTACCTGGAGAAGTAGAGGGAAGAACACTGAATATGTTGTTTTTTTTTTTTAATTTTTATAAAATATCTTTATTTTATTTGTTTATTTTTTATGTGGTGCTGAGGATAAAACCCAGGGCCTCGTATGTGCTAGGCAAGTGCTCTAACGCTGAGCCACAACCACAGCCCCATGGATATATTGTTAATAAAGGTGAAGGCCCCACCTTTGGTCTAGTTGAACAAGTTCCTATTTGGATGACCTAGCCAAAATTTTCATCACCATCACAAGTATCATCATCACCCCCATTGCCACCTCTGTCACTATAACCATCATTCACATCACCACACACCTAACAGGTGGAACAGCAGTCTTAAATAGCATAAGGCATACAGTGAAGGATAAATCAAGCTTCCCACTCAGAAGACCATGATCGGGTGAATGGGGAGCAGACCCACAAATAAGATCATGCCTTCAAAATATAAAATAATCTGTCGCAAGTACCAAAAGATGGTGGAAACTGGAATACAAACTCATTTGGAACTAAATTTCTGATAGAATTCTGTCTACCTCAAGAAATAGCTCACCTGGCCAGGTGACCACTGCAACATTCTTTCCCCGGGTTATCACTACTTTGGTTTCCTTTTCCCAAAGAGCCAATACTTCCACTTCACACTCTAGTGCTGGACAGAACAACAGTTATCAGTGGCCGGAATGAGAGTGTAGAGAGGAAAGTGTGAGGATAGCTTCTCCAACCTCTCCAGCACCTGGTCTCTTCCTACCTTCCTCATTCTCACGCTTCAATCCTGCATCGCTAGTATGTGGCTTATCACAGAGCCATCCTTTACGGTCTGGAGAGAAAAGCCTAGCATTGCTATGTCCGTATCAGAAATATCAGTGGATTTCCCTTGGCCCCTTCTGTGTTAGGAGTCACTGTTAGTAGGGATAGCTTTCTTTTTATTTAAATGTGAAACAGGAAATTATTAGGAAGCGGAGGGCTGAGATGCTGTTTACTTTCTCTCAATAGTGTTCAGTGAGGCATATGTACAGGAAGCTCTGCTCCTCCTGCTCATTCCCCTGTTAAGTCTGCCTCTCCCTCCTTACTTGCTCCCAGCCCTCTTTACTTAACCACCCTCCTAGTCTCTCCATCCAGGCGGCAACAGGAACCATCAGGGGTAAAGTGCTCAAGGAAGTTCCTAAGCCAAATTCCTCTGGAAGTTCTAAAGTTGAGGCTGGAGAACTGTTTTTCCTTTCTGAGGCTGGAGTCATACATGGCATAGGCATTGATTTATGTGGTGTTAGTTCTGAAGCACTCTTAGTTCAGAGCCTTGTATTGGAGACGGTGTTTAGAAAATCTCTGTGAGTAGATGGATGGATGGATCACTGAATGGGTGAATGAGTGAGTGGGTGGATGAATAGGTTATAGATAAATGAATCAAAGAATGATTTGTTTTAAGTCCCACAAAGTACTGAGTTCTAACGGATATGTAGCGTGGGGGGTTCACAGGACCCAAAGTTAGGTCTTCATCCAGCTTGTGGGACAGTCTAGGATGCAATGGCTATATCTAAGTACTCAGTTATCCTAGTGTCTAGGGAAATTGCCTTTGAAGTTTCTAGGTAAATTATGAATCACAGTGTGCAACACAGAACATGGACAAACTAGCAAACATCTGAATGAATGAGGAGAAAGAAAGAGCTGTGTAGTAACTGACTAAGATGAAAAGATGGGGGAGTTCCTTTGAAGTCCTACTTTTCTCTGGGTTGTCTAGTTGAGCATGCCTCTTACTGTCTCACCTCCCTGCGGCCCCCTGGTTCATGCTACTGGAAGGGCCATTCAAGTGGCCCAGAGGTGAGTTTTTTGTTCTCTATGAGCCCAATTCCTCATCTATCCAATGGGAATAACACTTTCCAAGCTATGAGACAGGGAAGATGGAAGGCTCAGAATGGAGATGAAACAATGTATGTGAAAGAGTGTAAACTGTTCAGCACAATGCAAATGTAAGGTGTTGCTATGATTGTTGTTGTTGTTGTTGTTGTTCCAGATCTTTGATGAAGAGTACAATGTCTGGTTCCTAGACTGGGGTGGCGCCCTCGTAGCCATGAAACACACACCTCTGCCAGTCAGGCATTTGTGGTAAGGACAGCTCCCTACCCTATTAATGAGCAGATTATTAGTAAGAGGTTGGGACAAGTTATTCTGCATGGTTTTGTACTCATTTATCCATTTCTTCATCCATATATTCATCAGTCCATCCATTGACCCTTTACTTCATCTAGCTTATAGCAGGAATAATAGGCCCAATAGTTGAGATGAGGAAGTGTGATGAATGGGATGGTTAGTAGGCATGGGTGGTTTCTTAAGGTGGAAGAGAACAGGAAGGACCTGCAAGTTTACCCTGCAAAAATTAGGAATCCAAAAATAAGAGATGGAAATTACTACCAAAGGATGGTTAGATTCATATAACAGATCCTGAGTTCAGTTTTAGGTAAGTTGATTTGTGGTATTCTATCAGAAATAACCATTAGTTGTCAGGTGTATTCATCTGAAGATCAGGGGAGAGGTCTGGGATGACACACTAGATTTGTAGCCATTAAGAATTAGGAACTAGTTGAAGCCAGGGCTGTGGGATCAATGCTTCAGAGTGGGTATTGTGAGGAGGAACAAAGGATCCCTGTGGAGAATTGGTAAAAACCAGTATTCAGAATGGAAGAAGAAACTATGCGACGGAGGAAAGAAAATAGCCAGAAAGATGGAAACCCGGGGACCATGTTTTCTTGGATGCCAAAGGAAAGGGTGGTCATTAGCATCTGGTTCTAATCAGATCAGGTCAGTTATGCAGTGAAAACCAGTGTGGTAATACTAGATTATGTGATATTAGAAGTCAGGATCTTCATCAGAGTAGATTTAAAACAAAGGTGGAATTGGAAGTGAGATTGCCGTAGCTTTATAAGTGAATGAATGACTGAGTGATAGACAATGAAATGAAGAATAGACAGTATGTTCTTTTCAACAAAGTAAATTATGGAATGGAGCTGAGTAAGAATATATTATGATGGTGTTTGTAAGGATGATGAAGATTTGTTGATATTGTTTTGTTAATGTTTTTGGCAGAGATGAGCCTCTTGTGTGCTTATATCCTGAAGGAAAAGAATTTCAGTCTTCAGATTCATTGAAGTGATCACTTTCAAGAGCAAATATTTGGAGGCGGAGGGTGTGCTGTCTATAGTACAGTTTGTGGGATTTGGCATGGGCAGGAAAATGAATCCTGGCTTTAACAGCAGACCCTTGTTATGGGGAGACACATGCTTTCATCGTGAGAGTCTTACCAGGAAGCATCAGATTGTCATCAGCAAAAGGCTTAGGGTTTTCTGTGCCAAATCCAAATGTCTGCCATATCAGTGAAGAGTTTCTCTCAGTTTGATTGTTTTAGATTAATTCACAGGAAATTGACATTTTTAAGCTATAAAATGGTCAAATGTCAGCTTCTTTGAGATCAGTCTAGTAAAAAGTATAATAGTTATACTTATCACTATATCATTTTGTAGACAGATTATGAAAATAAAATTTGCAAAGGCACATGAAGCCATTTGTAAGGCAATTACTTTACTAGTCCAAGGATGAGCTGGTAAAATTTTTCAATATAATTCCTTATTATTCTTTTACAAACAGTTTGTAATTTTAGGTAGTATCAGAAGACTGGAATTACTTAATAGTAATGATAGCATTACTATCATTATAGTAATGCTATAATTATTTTATTGCAGGTTCTGATTTAAACCACTTAAATGAATTATCTAATTTAATTATTTTTAGGGAGGATACCAGGGATTGAACTTAGGGGCACTCTACCACTGAGCTATATCCCCAGCCCTATTTTGTATTTTATTTAGAGACAGAGTCTTATTGAGTTGCTTATGCCTTGCTTTTTGCTGAGACTGGCTTTGAACTCATGATCCTCCTGTCTCAGCCTACTGAACTGCTGGGATTACAGGCATCTGCCACTGCGTCTGGCTAATTTAATTCTTAAACCAACCCTGTGTACGTGGATACGTTTTCTTATCACCCATTTCATAACAACATTGAAATGCAACCATATTAAATACTTTGTTCAAGGATACACTGCTCATATTTGAAAGTGCTAAGCTGGGTCCCTGTCAAGGGTGATCCTGTTTTTACCTGCCAATGTTCTAGATACTGTAAGGAGCACACAGAGGCTTTTGTCATGGTCCTTGCAGAGTTAGAGCAGAGTCAAGATAAAGAGTTTAGACAGTGCATTTATCACCAAAAATCAAAGCAATGCATGCTACAGTATGTTGGTTTTATGTGTTATTAAAAAGGGATCCTCCTGTAGCAGGTTGCATGAGGGTTGATCTTTGAAGAAAGGATGATGTTGAATGTTGCAGGAGGACAAGCCAAGAAAAAAGAAAACTGACCAAAGCCTGAAATTCAGGAAATGTAGGCAGTGTCATAAACCTATATTTGATTAGAGCCAAGAATATGTGTATGTGAAGGCAGGTAGGACCAAGAAGAAGTTGAATGCCAGATTTTGAGGTTAAGCTTGAGCTGGTTACCAAGATTCATTCCCTGTGGAGGACTGAGTAGGACTTTTGCTGAGGACGAGTCTTGAAACAAGCTTGTTTTCTAAGAAAAGCAACCTTTCTTAGCCCTTGTCATTATTGTCTAGGGGCCTCCATCTAAATCTCAATAAGATGATTGATGTATGCCTTGTAAAGAGACATAGCTGGACAGGTCTTTTCCCTTCCTCTGAGAGAAGAGAGTAGCAACCCCACCTTGCACTTGGCCACCATCCTCTTGCTCTTTCTCCTTTGGTATGGTCAGAATCTAATACTTACTTACTGGCTGCTTTTAGAACTTTCTGCAGAAAAGTTTCCTTGTGTCGAGTAAAGGAAGAGTTTGTTGTGTTTCCTGTTGGTGGTAGAAAAGAGTATGTTTGGTGTAGAAGGAGTTCATGGACAGAAAGACATCTGGCCATTCAGTCTGATCTACAGTGGTTTCTCTCCAGAGTCTTCTTTGTACCTTTTCATAAAGAACACATGTCTGGTAAGCCTGGGAGACTATCCAGGTAGGCAAAATTATTCAATAGCCACACAAGGATATCTAGGTAGGACCAAATCATTCTGCTAAAGTAATCAACACAAAATTTGAGTTTTTCCTTGTTCCATAAAATATTTTTTTCCTGGTGAAAAATATGATTACCAACAATGAATCTTATATATATATGGTTTGAAGAGAGGAATTTTAATGTACTCACTGTTAAGAATTGATGATGTATATGATAATTGCCCTGAATAGATCACCTCCCAGTGTATACATGAAACAAAACATCACATTGTGCCTCATAAATCATACAAATTTTGTGTGTCAATCAAATAGAAATGTGGTTTATGTTTACCTGCTAGTGTATCAATGCTAGTTTCAGAATCAATCCCTGTGAATGGTTAAATGGCAGAAATTTAGTGTGTTTGTTAGCAGCACCACCAACGAGCAACCTTCAGGAATTCTTAGTGCTTCTCTGTCAAAGGCTAAGTGAACGCTTTGTAAGGGCTTGACCATGTAATTATCATCAGTGTTTTCTTATGAAATGGCTGATTGGTTTTGTCTCCTGCTTATGTGCAAGCTTCTTGAACTCAAACACAGTTTCTTTATTCCTAGTAGCTTCTAATTAAGTCACAACATTCAAGGTAAACAGATAGGTAATTTTAAGAGGAAAAAGTTAAATAATCAGTTCACTGTTATTTTCTGTTGTAGATCTCATATGACATTATTTTGTATATATAATTGTATATGTATTTCTGTGTATATGTATATCTGTATATATATGTTTATATATATTTGTGTGTGGGTGTTTAGGTGTATATATGCTCAAAAAAAAAGACACCAGCTTATTCACTCTCACACAAGGGTATAGTGGCTCTCATATTTAAATAATAGTTACATTACTTTTCAGAGAAATAGGAGTCATAATTGAAAAGTTGGGGAGACTTTAGCTAGGCTAACAAGGCGTGCTGTTTCCTACAAATTGAAATGCTAGATAGGCCTGAGGATAAAAAAGGATACAAATGAACCCATCCATTTGTGACTGTGTACATTTGAATGCATAGAGATTAGCACCTAAGTGCTCTTGCAGGTAAGCCCTCCCCCGACTATTACCTTTGTACCTAGGAAGCTTTAGAGGGAAAAGAACAATAGAGCCCCATGGAATATAGACCTTTAATGAAACTTCACAGTAGACAGAGTGCCTCATCTGCAGGTAGAGTGGGCTACAACTGCTTCTCCCTGACAAGCTGTCAGCATCTCCTTTCAATGGGATGTTCTTGGAAACAAAAAGGAAAACATCCCCTGGTCTTTGTTTTCCTTTGTTCAACCATAAATAGTTGTGGGTACTCGAGTTTGTTTTGTTCAGAGAAACATTCCTGTGAAAACAATAGTTCCACCCAATGCAAACCTCCAAGAAGGGAAAGTGCTACTCTGAATAACTTCCACGGTTTAGCCACCACCTGCCATTTGGATTAAAGTAAATGGGGGGGGGGGGGCAGGGGGAAGTGATGGAGATTGAATTAGAACAAATTAGATTCCATATTTTTGTGATTGTGTCAAAATGTATCCTAACATTTTATATAACTAAAAAGAATCGAGAGAGCAAGAGTGAGACTGAGAGCGAGAGAGAGAGCAAGAGAGAGAGAGAGAGAGAGAGAGAGAGAGAGAGAGAGAGAGAGAAGAGAGGGACACAGGGGTTCCACCTCACCAGGGGAAGGTATAATGATTCTCAACGTACATTATAACTTTCTATTTTTGTGCCAGATACTTTTGGGAAGGGCTCTGTTTGTTCTTGAAATATTCTATTCATTTTATTTCTCTCATCTCAGTATCATAAAGTCGTAGATAAGTGGAATAGGAAGGGTCCTAGAGGTCATGTAATTTGGTGTCACGCTTGGTATAGTAGGTACTTTTGTGATACCTCCAAGGGTCACCCTGCTTCACTGAAGCTTGCAAATTCCCACAACAGAGTCTCATCTTGTATAATAGCTTTAGTTGTTGTAAAAATTGTTGTTCGTGCTGAGCAATAATGAATCTACTTATAATTTCTGCCTACTGACTCCTGTGTGCAGAATACGTCTACCAGAATTGTATGTGAGTTTTAGAATTGTGTAACTGGAAAGAACCTCAAGATATTTCTTTATCTAGCCTTCCTAAGTTCTGGGAAATGATCAGATATGCAATTCAAAACAGCTTTTATCTATTTGATCACTATTTCCGCACATATTTAGCCTGTACTATTTTTCCAGTATTAGCATAGGGGCTGGGATATGTTGAGCAGGACAATGAATTTGAAAGCTTACATTCTTATGCACAAGTATTTGATTATTCTCTTTAGAAGAATCACAAAAAAAATGGAAATATTTTCTCCTTTATTCTGCCTGCATTTTAAAGAAATTGATAGTTCTGTGTATCTAACTACATTTCCCCCCAATTTCATTCACAAGCTTTTTTTACCCCATTTTGGTTGTTTAAAAAAATGGTTTTTCTTGTTGTTATTATTGTTTTAGTATTTGGAAACCCCCTCACTAAAAGCAATGTTCAAAGTAATTAATTGAGTTCTTAGTCTTCTTTTCCCCAAGTAAGCTGTTTAAAATTTATAAAACCTGTTTCTACGACAATTTGTTTTTTACTTTAAATCACAATGATGGAAATTGAACATAGTATTTAGGATCTGGCTAAAAGATGATTTCTCTTCTTATACATGTAACCTATCTGTAACCATGTACCAGACTCAGACTGGTTTAATTAGCACTCACAGGAATACCATTGTCAGAAAATATTTAACTTGTGATTCACAATGACACCAGTTCCTTTTGGGCTTGAACTTCTCATTTCATTAGTTAATCTTCTCCTTTCCTCATCTGAAGTGCTTTATTTTCCTATTAAGCATTCTGCTTTATATTGACCCTAGCTTGTTAAGTGACTTCCAAATCTATATCTGCAATTATGATCAGGAATCCAGATCCATCCATCAAATGTCTTCTTGACATGTCACATATGGAAACCCCAAAAAGAATCTAAATTTTGACATGGAACAAAACAGAAACAAATAGATAAATAAAAAGTGTTGCTTCTTCTGCATTTCCATCAATTGCTTAACACCTTAATCAATGTTTTCTACAATATTTTTTCTATTGCTTATGTATCCAAGATACATTCCATCACCAAATCATATTGACATCACTTCTAAAACTATCCTAAGTCTTTCATCTAACCCCCATCTTTTACTTGGTCTTTTATAATTTCCAAAGCTTACTCCCAGCCCCAAATCATCTCTTTGGGTCTGATTATTATTTCTCTTAAACTTGTATCAATTCATTTGCATGTTTTTGCCTTTTCAAACTAGAATGTAAGTTTCATTGCAGCAAGGGATTCTCCTTTCTTGTTCCTTCTGCCCCTAGAACTAATGCCACTCTTAGGTCAAGAACATAGTAGGCATATAAATGCTTGAGAATTCAAGTTCATTTTATTTGGATTCTTTAGTCTTGTACATGCTACTTGGAGGTCAACTGGAATTTTATTCCTGTCTCCTGGAGTATTGGCAATCGTACTGATTTCAATTTCACCTATAGACCTAGTGAGGAATTCCCGATTTCTTTAGCTTGGTCATTAATGAGCTATTGACCTGAGGAGGAGAATATGGATCCCTTGGGAATACCATTCAATATAGTTACCTCAGATCATTTTTAAAGCCCTAGTAATGAAAAAGAATAGCACTCACAAATGGCAGACCAACCAGACCCAAATAGCAATAACCAAGAGATTGTTCTAGAACATGTATTAATACATTTATTAAACACGTATTTTGGGAAGCTTCTTTAAGGCTCTTTGTTTCTTAGTAACTGCCTTAGCTTGAGAGAGTCAAGTTTTAGAAACTGATTATCTCAGAGGGTCACCCTTGATAGTACCATCCTGAGCTTTCATGTGGACCATTGACCACAAAGGCAACAGGATTCATTCCTCATCCTGGCTCTGGAGATCTGCCCACTTGCTTGTGCTTATTGCCATCCTTGAACTTCGGTGACATAGCTACCTTTCCTATCTTGACTTTGGCCTGTCTCAACATCTCTTAGGCATCTGCTGGTCCCATTCTTCCCTCTGGCCTAGGATTCTGTAACTTCCATATGGACCCCTTTCCAATAGAGGCTCTGGTCCTACAATTTCTCTCCCTTGGAACTCCTAGCTTGATACTAGATGGCTCTGATGGGCCCTCATTGTCTACTTTGTGGTGTCTTCTCCTCATTGTATAGTACGAAGATGTCTGTCACATGCCCTCTACTAAGGACAGTGGGTTAAAGGACTCGCCTTCCCTGGGATACTGCAGCTTCCTCTGCTAATGCTAATAAATGACCTTTATCACTAAGAAGACTATGAGAATGAGACTAGGGGAAAGGCCTTGTAGCTTCTGCAACAAAACCCTAAACTAATACTTCCATATCTCCTGGACTTAGCAGATACATTTAACTAGTTAGTGGCCATGGTGTATGCTGAAACAACTACGGTTATTTTAGGGACCAATGGGGTATAGAGCAAGATGGGCAAAATTCTGTTTCCAATCATGCTTTTGTTTTCACTTTTAAAACAAGGAGAAACCCATTTCTATGAAAAGCAATTCAGATCTTCCCAACTTTCATTATACAATCTTAAATGATTACTTAGCCTTCAGCTTATTTTTAAAAAGGATGAAATGACCAAACCCTTAAAATTCAAGACAGATGCTGACAACTTAGGAACTCATAAAGGCTTTTATGGTAGTCTGCTTTTCATTTATGGTCAGGGATCCAGGTATAGCATAAATGCAAAAATTGTTTTCTGAGAGATTTGTTGCCCTATGTTACCCTAGCTGAGTAAAGAGATTGACTTTTTAAAATCTATATATTAGGAAAGAGAAGGCAGAGTCAAACAGAGAGATAGTTGAGACTGGACTGAGCAATTGGCTCCTACAGTTTCTGGATGCTTACCCAAGTCATACGTGAAAAAGTGATTGAATGAATGAATTACAAGAGGGCCCTTCATCATTCTTTACTTTTTTCATTCATTTATTCATTTACCACTGATATAGTAACAACTATGGTCAGGTATTCTGCTAAGTATTAAGAATATAAAAATCAACCATATGGTCCTTGACCTCAAACATCTTCTATTTTAGCAGGAGTCATATTTTCTAAAAAAAAAAAAAAAAAAAAAA